CCTGCTGCTGCAGCTCTGCCAACTCGGCCCAGCTTCTCCGCTCTTCTCTTGCTTCCCCCCCCTGCTTCCCTCTCGCTTTCTCCCTCCCCTTTGTGTCGCATTTGCCCCTTTCCCCCTATCCCCCATTCTCTCCGTTCCTCGATCCCCCCTCCCTCTGTCCCCCTCATCCCCGCATCCACCACCCCCTTATCCCCCCAGCGAGCGTTAAGGCCCGGCATGCCGCCCTCGTCCACGACAGCAGCGGAGCGCAAGGAGGTGGAAGACCTGCTGCTGCAGCTCTGCCAACTGGGCCCGCCCATTGGATACCTCACAGGCGGAGCAGCAGACGGAGGGGACTGGGAGGGGGGAGTTGTGCAGGAGTGGGGCGAGAGCGAGGGTTGGGATGGTGACGGTGGTGGTGGAGGTGCTCCGCTTACGCATGGATCATGGGTGCTCATGTGAGTGCTGCTGCCTTGCTTCAGCTGCTTTAGCTGCTTTGGTTGAATGGGACTGCTGCATCTTGAGATTCACCAATCCATGCGCCAATCAAGAGCGCATCACTTGGAAATTTCCACCTTACCTCGTTTACCCTCTCCCGTCTCTGCTCTCCTCTGTTTCCTCCTCTCCCCTCTGTCATTCTGTCTCCGTCTCTTCCCATCCATCTCTCCCCTTACTTCTCCCCACTAACATTCCTTCCTCCCATCCTCTCATCTAATCCCCTCCTTCCATTCCCCCCAACCAGCTACGCCTCATGCGACCCTGAGCCTCCTCCATCCACGGATCCGCCTCCCCTACCAGCCATTCCCCTCTCGCCCATGCAGCTGCTGCTCCGGGCGGCAGAACTGCCGGGTGTGGAAATCGCACGGCTGACTCAGCAAATCGGATCTGATTCCAGTGGCTTTTTGACTGGATCAGGCGGAGGAGGAGGGGGAGGAGGAGGAGGGGCGGGAGGGAGTGGGGATGGGAGGGCAGGGAGGGAGAGTGAGGGAGATGGTAGTGGTGGAGTGGACGCACTGAGTGGAGGGGGAGGAGGGGTGGGAGCTGGTGATTCTTCTGACGTTATATCCAGAGAGTATGTGGATCTAAAGCTCGGTGCCTTGGGCAAGTTTCGCCTTGGCTTTTCCTCCTCCTCTTCTTCTTCTTCCTCCTCCGCTTTCTCCTTTTTCTCCAACTCTCAAGACTCCCAGCAGCAGCAACCAGCATCCCAGCAGCAGCAGGGGCAGTTGGCAGGGCTGTTGACATCTTTCTCTTCCCTCTCCCTCCAGCCGTTGGAGGTCTGGGGCAACACCGTTCCCTCTGATGATCTCCCGCTGCTCACGCTCACTCTCCCCGTGCCCCAGGCGATACAGAGGGCTGTGGCTGCGCGTGCAGCCACGGCAGCAGGGGGCGAGTGGGTGACGTGCTACGTGGATGATGACTTGAGGGTGGATTGCAACGAGGAAGGGCTGTTTCTCGCGTTCGCCCGTGCGAATGAATGAGTGAGCTAGTGAGGTGAAGGAAAGGCGATCGCTCGTGAGATGCTTCTCGAGTCCTGCAGTGCAGTGCTACTTAGGGGTTGATGCAGTGAATGGTATTGTGAGTTCAATGGAGGGAGTTGCGAGAGAGGGAGGGAGAGAGCGATGGATGTTGAGGAGATACGGTAGCAATAACTGGTGGTTTTTTAGATGGTGTTTACAAAGCGGATGAGTCTTGGTGTGGTAACGGAGATGCTGTTTTGGGGGAGTTAATCAGGGTCAAACCTATCACAGTGCACATGCTTTGTCAATACCTATGAACCAGCCCTACGGTATTGTGATTTTTCATTTCACTCTGCTTAGCCGGTATGTGATGCCCAGTTTCGACTACACACAATCTGCTGCTGTAATTTTCCATGCTGGTCTGTCCATCACAGTGCTCTCCAAAAGACACTGCGCTGCACTGACTGCTCAGCTCATCTCCAAACCTTGCCCCACCCAGTGCCAACGCGCATGTGTTCCTGCCTGGAGGCTCATGAGTCAGGTGTCAGTAGTGGTTCCACCACATACCGTATCCATCCATCCATCCATCCATCCATCCATCCATCCATCCATCCATCCATCCATCCATCCATCCATCCATCCATCCATCCATCCATCCATCCATCCATCCATCCATCCATCCATCCATCCATCCATCCATCCATCCATCCATCCATCCATCCATCCATCCATCCATCCATCCATCCATCCATCCATCCATCCATCCATCCATCCATCCATCCATCCATCCATCCATCCATCCATCCATCCATCCATCCATCCATCCATCCATCCACCACCATTTCATAATACCATGCTCTCTTGGTTGTGCTGTGTTGCACGTACAATGCATTACATTAGTGTGTACAGATTTGTGATCATAGGGGCAGCTGTAACGCAGCCTAGCCACACAAGTGATTCCCCAACACCAAAACCAGGTGTGCGATGCGAGTCCGAGTGTGGGTGTGTGTGCGGGTGTGAGTGTGAGTGAGTGGCTCGGCCCGCAGCAGCATGGCTTGGCTTCTCTACTCGAGGAACATCTTGGAGAGGCGTTCATACTTGCCGAGGTTGTGCCCGCCTGCATAGTGCACTATGAAGTCCCCTGGCGTGTACTCGTTCTGAGTGTGGCTGCACGGCACACTCATGTACCTGCCAAGGGGTGGGGGGAAGGAATTGATGTATGTATGCGCTTTTTAGGCATCTTATATGTTGTGCCTATCAGGTCCCCTGGGGTGTACGGTAATCGTTATGTGTGTGGCTGCACGGCACACTCATGTACCTGCCAGGGGGAAGGGAAGGGGGGAGGGATGCATGTATAACGTTAGAAGGTTGGATGCTTGGTTACATACCAGTGGATGGTTGGTGATGGAAAGCGACAGCACAGATGCAGTCGGAATAACACAGCATGACATGGCGCGATCATACCAATTCAACACACTGCTGACATGGTGCGATCATACCGATTCAACACACTGCTGACATGGCGTGGCATCATACCTGTACGGGAAGATGCTGACTGGGTGCCCTACCTGTACGGTATGATGCTGACGTGGGCATGGAAGTCCTCCGGGTGTTTGAGGCGGTAGAGGTCAATGGCTTCATGGTCCCAAAACTCCTGCCGGATGGACGAGTGGTAGAACTGGTACTGCGCCTCCAGGAACGACTGCCCAGTGGGTGATATCATGGCATTGTGGGGGGAAAGAAGCAGTCAGTACAGAGCAATGGCATGGTCGAATCGGAGCGTGGTTCCAGCACTCCTGCCCGGATGGACGAGTGGTACAACTGGTACTGCGCCTCCAGGAACGACTGTGAGGTGGCGTGGCAGTGCGGGGAAAGAAGCAGTCAGTACGGAGGAATGACGCCCAACCCATACTGTGCACCCACCACATACACCCAACCCAACCCTTCCAGTCCTCTCCACGCATACTTCCCCCCTTTAAATCCCCTCCTTTTCACTCCATCCCCTCCCGCTTTCGCACTCCCCCTCCCCCTCCCTCCACCCTCCCTCCCCTCTCCCCTTCTTCACCTTGCTCCAAGCCGTGCTGCGCATGACTGCTTTTGAGTTGACTCAAAAGCCCTCCCCCCCACACCTTCCACCTCCCCCCTCCTCACCTTGCTCCAAGCAGTGCTGCGCAGGACATACACGCCCGTGTTGACCTGCGACTCGGCCCTCGGCTCGGCATACCGCCCGTACCGGTACGGTACCCAATGCTGTAGACAGCATCGCTGCGCGGCGTGTTGTAGAGCGCGGGGAGGTCCGTCCAACCAGCCCGTACTGCACAACACTGCACCACATACACTCACGTCCTCGCATCCTTCTCTTCTCCCCTTCAAGTCCCCTTTTTCACTCTATCCCCTCCCCCTCCCCCCCCCCCCCCTCCCCCTCCACCTCCATCAACCCTCCCACTCCCCATCCCCCTTCCGCACCTTGCTCCAAGCAGTGCTGCGCATGACATACACGCCCGTGTTGACCTGCGACTCGGCTCTCGGCTCGGCATACCGCCCGTACCGGTACCCCATGGTGTAGACAGCATCGCTGCGCGACGTGTTGTAGGGCGCGGGGAGGTCGAGCAGCGCGTGGAAGGAGAGCGTGTGGTTGAGGATGAGTGCATCCGCATCTATGTGCACCACTGTGTCTGCGAACGATAGAACAAGGAGCATGGCCCGCACCTGCAGCAGCAGAAGAGGGGGGAGAGGTGAGGGGGAGACAGGAGGTGGAGAGAGAGGAGACGGGAGGAAGAGGCGTGGGAAGAGGTGGGATGAGGAAAGAGATGGGAAAATAGAAGATGGTGGAAGAAGAAGAAGAAGAGGTGGGTGAGAGGTGCAGGAGTGGAGGTGCAGAGCGGGGAGGTGTCTGCGATGGGATAGAACAAGGAGCATGGCCCGCAAAAAGCAGCAGCAGTGGGGAGAAGTGGGGAGAGAGCGGAGTGGAAGGAGAGCGTGTGGTTGAGGATGAGAGCATCCGCGTCTATGTGGTGTGCACCACTGTGTCTGCGAAGGAGAGCGAGCACCCGCAGCATGGCCCGCACCTGTGGCAGCAGTGGGAGGGGAGGTGAGAAAGAGGAGGGGAAAGAGGAGCTCCGGGAATCAGATAAGCGCATCCGCGTCTATACGCTGTGCACCACTGTGTCTGCGAAGGAGAGCGAGCACCCGCAGCATGGCCCGCATCTGGAAGGGGATGTGGGGGAAGAGGAGGAAGGTGGGGCGAGTGACTGGGTGAGTGAGGAAGTGGGTGAGTGAGCAGGAAATGAGTGAGGCAGTGAGTGAGCTTTAGGGAGGGAGGGAGGGAGGGAGGGAGGGAGGGAGGGAGGGAGGGAGGGAGGGAGGGAGGGAGGGAGGGAGGGAGGGAAGGAGGGAGGGAGGGAGGGAAGGAGGGAGGGAAGGAGGGAGGGAGGGAGGGAAGGAGGGAGAGATTGAACGAGTGAGAGAGGCAGACAGGGTGGGGTACGCACGCACCTTGGACCAGGCATGGGGGCGCACATATTCAAGGCTAACAGCCACCTCGCAGTATCTGCATGCATGGCGCGCACAGTACAGCAGCCGGTTGCGCTTCTTGCATCGACTCAGAAATTACCTTGGACCATGCATGGGGGCGCACGTAATCGAGGCTGACAGCCACCTCGCAGTATCTGCATGCATGGCGCGCACAGTACAGCAGCCGGTTGCGCCGCATCAACACCACGTAGTCCTGCCCACGTCCGGTGCAACCGAGCAAGAGAGAGTGAGAGTGAGCCAGAGGAAAGGAAGCAGAGAGTGAGAGTGAGCGAGAGACCAGATAAAATATCGGACAGGGCAGTGGGAGGAGGGATATGCATGGGGAGGAGGGGGATAGGGGTGTATGCAACGAGGGATGGTGAAGAGGAAATCACAGGAAGAGAGCCACTAGATCAAGCTCTTGGGTTTATTCAGCTTTCCCTCACTGAACTCCACGTCACAAATCACACGCCTGCCCGCACACCCTCAGGCCCCCAGAACAGCCACAGGGCACGCAGATGGGCGGGCGGGTGGGCGGGCGGGTGGGCGGGCAGGCGGGCAGGCACGGACGGACCTGGGGCAAGTCCAGTGCGACAGTGAGCAGTGTGAGGTTGCCATGGCCGAAGCACAGCGACGTGGGCTTCTCAGACCAGCGCTGCTGCCGCTGCAGCAACTGCTCGTCTATGCCCTCTGCTGCTGCCGCTGCCAGCGCTGCTCCCAGCCCGTGGCTTGCTCCTGCCCCGTCTGCGCCTTTCTCCCTTGCTGCGCGTGCGGCTGCGGCCCACTTGCTGCTCGTGTGCTCCGATACGAAGTCTGCAAGGCAGAAGGAAGGAGTGAAATGGAAATGGAAAGGGAAAGCGGAAATCGAGTCTTGGGACCTGTCGTGTATACGAAGCCTGAGGGTGAGGAAATGAGGGGTGAAGGGAGAGCCTATCATGTACAGTGGGAGAAGTAGGAGTGGTGGTGAAGATAGAGGCGATAACGAGCAGCTGAGACAGACAGAGGGGAAATGAGCACCTGAGACGGAGGGGTCTGGGGGAATGTGCAGGGCCCGGCGCACAGCAAAGGCGCAGAAGGCTATGAGCGCGAGGTAGCCCACGCGCATGAGGGCGCGCTGGCGCGTGGAGAAGCGGCGGCGCTTGGGGGAACCGGCCATCGGGGGGAGGAGCGGGAGGTGGCAGGAGGGGGTCGGAAGGTGGAGGAGGAGGGGGGACGGGGGAAAGAGAGCGAGAGGTAGCGCGCGAGAGCGGGAGGAGACAGAGAGAGGGGGATGGTGGGGAGAGCGGTTATGGGGGAAGGGAAAGGGACGCGGGGAATACGAGGGGGTGGAGGGGTCGGAGGCTTTAGGCTGCGGAGAGATTGAAATGCTGGAGGAGTTTCAGGAGAGGGTGGAGGCGCAGGTGATGCTGGTGATGCTGGGGGTGTTGTTGATGCTGGTGATGCTGGTGATTGTGTTGGTAAGGTGCTGGGAGAGTAGTCTTTGATGCGCGAGCATTACTGGGCTTCAAGTGCATCCAACGCTCCGACCCTCCTCAACCCCATCAACTGTCGCCGCTGTCGCCGCTGACTTCGCTGTCGCCGCTATCTTCCCTGTCGCCGCTGTCGTCGCTGTCTTCGCTATCTCGCTTGCTGTGAGCCCGTCTCCTACATGAATTCCGCAAGCCTACCGCACCCCTCGCCTGACTGCTCTAGTGACTAGAATTTGTAACTGGGAGCATCCTTGGACTACATCCGCTTATCGCCGGGCCACATAATTCGCGTTTGTACTGCTGCCATTGTCGCAATCAGCGGCTTGTGTTTTCCTAGTCGCATCCTCCTCCTCTCCCCGCCGCGTCTCCATGCGGCGAAGAAATAGCCCGTCAAGCAAAGCGGCGAGAAAACCGACTGCAGATGAAAGCGTACTGGTTCACGAGAGTGCCTTCGCTGGGGATAAGAAACGCTGGGGGACAAAGGAACAAAAAGTGAGTGCTCCTCCTGAATTGCGAAATCCTGCCTTGGGAATGTCAGCAGAAAGGAGGAGCCTCGAGGTTGGTTGAAATGATCAGCAGAAAGCGGTTGCAATATACGGAGTGGGATGGGATTCGTGAAATGAAAAGCTTCTGCAAAAGTTTTTTCGTTAGAGAGTGTCCCGATTCCCGATTCCCGACTTTCGCTGTCTACACTTTACATAGCTCATGTTATTTGCTTACTGCAGCAGACTGAAGATAAATCGTCATCATGAATTCATTTTATTCCAACATAGGTTCATCTACGTGCAAACAACCTGGAGCAAGGATTACGCTTCCATATTCCAATACTGCAGGGCAAGAGCTAATTGCTTACAAGAGAAAATTAATAAGAAAGCAAAAAGGGATGCAGTTCAAAAAGGTACACGACGGGGTCAAAAAATCGAATAACACTGTCCTAGGCACCAGTCTCTCTCAGTAGCATAGCTTCTACAACTTGGATCGTCCAGGAATCAAGGGAGTGGTCTGCTGGAAGTAGGCCGATGCAGCCGCCACTCCAGAGCCAAGCACCACTGGGTATCCCACATCCCGAAGCGTCATTTCAGTTCCTGCTAGGGCTCCAAGGAGTGCAACCTGCAGAGGAAAATAGCAGGGTGAGAGAATAGCAAACAAGTAAGAGTCAGTAAAGCCCGAGACGAACAATAACGAGACAACGCAAACCAAGTCAGCAGGACGCCACATATACAATACCATTAACATTTTCACTTGGCTCCACCTCCATCAAACACCCATTCTCATGCCCATTCGCGCTCTTTCCCACTTTCCCCCCTCCCCAGCGTTCCCCTCACCCATCATCCTCCTCCACTCACCTCATTCATCTGCCCCAAGTGGCCGATGCGGAACGCCTTGCCATTGATCTTGTTCAACCCGAGTCCGAGCGACAGATTGTACTTGTTCCACGCGGTGCGCACAACATCATTGCTGTTGATATGCGCCGGCACAAGAATCGTCGTCACAGTGTCGCTCTTCCACTCGGGACTCTTGGTGCACAGCTGCAGGCCCCAGGCCGCCACAGCGCGCCGAGTGCCCTCTCCCAGACGTGCGTGCCGCGCAAACACATTGTCAAGGCCCTCCGCGAAGAGCAAGTCGAGCGATGCGCGAAGACCGTAGAGCATCTGGGAGGACGGGGTGTATGGCCAGTAGGTGCCCGCCTGGTAGAACTTGAGGTAGTCTGCCCAGTCGAAGAACACGCGGGTCGACTTGCTGCAAAGGATAAGCAGCGGCATGGGAGAAGGGAGAGAGAGGGGCGGAATGGGAAGGTTAGGAAGGAGTGGAGGGAGTGTTGGAAGGATGCGGGAAGTAGGGGATTGGTGACTTGGTAGCTTAGGAATTTCAGGCTCTTGGCAGCTCTTGTTTGGTCTGTCCGTTCTCCCTATCTCATTCCGCATGCATCCAATCACCCCACCAGGCCAACGGCCACAACATAACACAACCTCAAACAGCTTTCCCTCACATCTCCCACCCTCCCATAGCCCACGCATCCCCCTCCCCGCACCCACTCCCCTCAGTAACCCCAGTAACCCCCCACTGCTCCGTACCTGTGCTTGGCGGCCTCGAGGGCGCGCGGGCGCGCGCAGACAATGCCAAGACCCGTGGGGAGAGAAAGCGCTTTCTGCGACCCGGTCAACGCCACGTCAACGCGCCACCTGCACGCGCACGCACGAATACAGACAAAGAGCCAGGGCGTCGTGAGAGGGGGAATTGGGCCACGCGACGAAAGACGGTTTAAAAGAGAGATATAGATAGAGAGACATTGTCTCGTGCGCGTGTTTATAGATGAGAGCAGCGACAGAGCAGATGCTAGCGACAGCATACTCGGCTTAACAAATTCCGGTAAAAACACAGCCAGAAGGAGTGCGAAAGAGCGCGAGAGAGTGCGATGGGACGGGAGGGCAGGATGGGGGGAATGGGTACTGACTTGTCCTGGTAGAAGGGAATGGCGCCGATGGAGCTGACACCGTCCACCATCAGCATCGCCTTGTGGTTGCACTCATCTGCAACCATGGGAAGGACATTGGGAAGAGGGGCATGTGAGTAAGAGATGGAGAGACGAGGCTGGTGGAGGAGGGGAAAAGACTAGGAAGGGAGGGCTGGAAAAGGGAAAGACGGGAGGGAAGGGAGGGTATTGGGGCAGGAGACCAGCAGAAGCAACAGCAACGAGAGCAGCCACGCCACCGGCACCGGTCGCCACCGCAACTCACCGAGCACTTGTCGCACTTTGCCGATGTCGTTGGTGACGCCCGTGGCCGTCTCGTTGTGCACGACGCACACCGCCTTGACCGTGCCCGCGCGGTCCGCCAGCAGCTTCCGCCGCAGCACGTCCAGGTCCGCGCCCGCGCCCCACTCGCAGTCGACCACGTCGACGTCGAAGCGCAGGCGCTGCATCTGGTCGATCCAGAGCAGCGAGAACTGGCCCAGGCGGAACGAGATGATGCGGTCGCCCGGGGAGAGCGTGTTCGTGAGCGCCGACTCCCACGCGCCCGTGCCTGCAGGGGGGGGTTCGAAGAGCGGAAAGGGGACGGGAGGAGGGAGGAGGAACGGGGGACGAGGGAGAGTAGGAGCGGACGGATTGGAATGAGTGAGACGGATAGAAGTGGCAGGGGGGGCGGTAGGTGCTGAAAACGGGAAAAGTTTGATGACAGATTGGCATTCATAGGGATATTTGCACAAGGAACGGAATGGATAATCATTTGCCCGTCAACAGGTAGATGTACAACCGGTTATCCCACCCACATGCTGGCGACTCGAAGGACAAGCCAGAAAACAAGCGGAACGTATCGCAGCCATGATTAAAAACACCGGACGGCCAGTGCTTAGGGTTAACCGACACTTCCGGTTCACATTCAGTGGACATTCCACGAGGAATTTCAAGTGGTGGCTATCGAGTGCAAGGCCGCATCGCACCTGTAGCAGGGAAGATGAAGCAGGTGCCCTCGGTGGAGCCGAAGAGCTTCTTGCTGTCGTCGATGACGCTCTTGCTCAGTACGGGGAAGGCGGGCGACCGGTGATCCTCGTTGCCGCGCAGCATGGCGCGCTGCACCTGCTCGGGGACATTCGTCGGGCCGGGGACGAACAGGTGGTTGCGGCCGGGTCCGGGATAGTACTCCATGGCTGCTGGCGCTGCTGGTGGAAGTGGACGGAGGAGGCGGTGTAAGGTCGTGCGTTGTGGCGGTGGCTAGGTTAAGAGAATCTTGCGGTGCTTGTGATTGGAGTAGCAGAGCGGAGTCCGATGAGCGGGGACGAAAGGGTTTGAGCAGCAGCGAGCAGCTGGGAGGAGCTCAGGCAATGGAGAGATGGAGATTAGGAAATCTGAATGCCTGATAGCTTGGGAATGGCAGGTCCAATGTTTATATATTTGTATTGGAAAATGGGCAGCTACTTGGAGAGTTGTGCATCCCGTCCCGTGTTGTATGCTGGGTGGAAGCGAGGGTGGATTGTAGCAGTGAAAGAGCCCCCCTCCAATTCGACAGTCCCAAGAAAGAATTTGCCTGTGGCGACGATACACGAATGATTTCGCAACGTGTTACGTTGACGCGAAAAGGCTCGCGACTGCTGGCGAATGGGTTGGTGTTTGGTGAATGCACGCACCTAGAACCTGTTCGCACCACTCACAGCACGAGGCGATGCGCGCTTGCGCTTGGTTGACCTGGCGCGGCTCGTTCTCCCCACCATTTCGCGGACCTGGTCGCAAATCCAGCCTTTGGGCAGAGGGGAATGGAGGATCAGTGCTGAAGCAGGTTTGTCACCAGCTGTGATGCCACATAGGCTCGTTTTGATTGGAAATAGTTTCTCTCGCCACGTCAACAGGTGGTGGGGAGTGCGTGGGACTGCACCCGAAATGAGGCTCGCCTCTTCAACCTCGTCCTTGTCCAGATAGACACTCGTTTGGCTGAGTCCAGTCCACCACACACACAGCAGAAGCATCGCATCTCCTGGTACATGACCAGATACATGCCACGTGTAATGTACCGAGCCTGCAAACAGCCTTCACACACCCAGGCCTCAATAGAGATTTACGGTTGGCTCCAAATACATTGACCAGATCCCCACGTCGTCACCCAACCAATCACAACTTCCGAACCTAGCTTCGCTAAAAAGGTCCCGAACTTTACTCGGTACAGAACACCGTTTTAACGGCCCTGCACGGTTACGGTCTGGGTAATGTGTGCCTGGCTCGGAACGAACAGCCAAGCCAACACTTGTCCACCACACAACACCTAGCCACACCACGCCTTCCCCCACACCTGCTCCTCCAAACCTAAGGCATCCCGCCCTCCCCGCCCGATCCCCTCGTAGGCCCCCGCACTCACCACCGTAGCTCTCACGATGATCTGTTCCGCCTACCCCCATCCCACCTCACCTCACCAAACCCAAGCTAACCCACCCATCCACTTCAGGAAGTGACGCTACTGGCTGATGAATGATTCAGCGCACAATGTGCTATCACTGGCACCAACACAACCTCCTCCTATCTCATCTCCGCCCCGCAACTCGCGCTGAGCCAACTGCATGGCTCTCTAGTTCTCCCACCTCCTACCATTGGCTGCTCGCAAAACAAACCGTGATCCGTAGCGTATCTAGACGTTTCTAGGGGGAGGGTCGCCCTCATGGCTCTCGCCCACCACGACTTGACTCGCCCATACCTGCATCATCGCGTGGAGCCCACTCATTTCACCGCATCGCGTCTCATCCCTGCGTTATCCGCTATTCGCCTCTCCCCGTCCGTCCGCAAGCTGGATCTCGTCAGCGAGCCCACTAATTTAGCCGCCACGTCAGCAGCCACATCGCATTCACGATCCGAGCTATTGACCAGCTCCGCGCTCCGTTTAAGGGGTTCGAGCAGACGTGGCGCGTCCGCAACACGGTCTTCAGCGGCAGCGTCGGATCATCCAGGATCCGTGGAGCGATCCGCGGAAGAGAGCCAAGGAGGAAGCTCTGGCTGCGGCGGAGCAGCGGCGGTTAACGTCCTGGACCGGGGGACTAGCGCAGAAGAGGCGTCGCTGCTTGCAGAGCGCAGAGTAAACGCGCCGGGGGAGCCGCGGGACGGCTTTTTCTGGAGCGATTTAGAAGACGAGGCAGGAGGAGGAGGACATGGAAATGGCCGTGGCGATGGCGATGGAGGCAGTGCGATGCGCGATTCTCACTCAGCAACCTCTTCGTCGCCTTCGTCGCCGTCGCGAGTGTGGCACGTGTTATCCGTCATCAATGACAGTGTACGTACGCCCTTTCGCGATATCGCAGCACGTTCACCCTTACTTGCCTTTTCAGACTTGCCCCTTGAGTGCCCCCGAATCCCTCTTTCTTCCTTCCTCGTCCTCTTTCACTGTGCAAAACGAAACGCAACTGGAGATTCACACAAACCGTCCTTGGAGGCCAACGAACGGTACAGTCTTGCCTCCATCACTTGTCAGCCTTACGGTTGTGAGATTTCCGGAATATGTACCTTGAGCGATCAAAGCTGTTGCCGTGGTGAACAACATATCCGAATAACCAGCAACCCAACTCCCGTGATTCTTTCAAGACGCTAATCACTCGAATAACATCCCATTCCGTTCCTCTCCCTCCCACCCTCGTTTCCATTAACTCCACCTCTTTCACTCCTCCCTCTCCCCCCCACCCGCCCTCCCTCTTTCCCCCCACCCGCCTGCTCCCTCGCGAACAGACCAAGTGGGTGGCTACAGTCGCTACAGCCGTGACGGTGCTCGCGACGCACAACCGAGCCGCGGCGTGGTTCGTGGTGGGTGCCGTGCTCAACGTGGCCAACGGCAAGGCGCTCAAGCGCATTCTCCGCCACGAGCGGCCCGAGACAGCGCGCGGAAAGAAGGCGGATCCCGGCATGCCGTCGTCGCACGCGCTGAGCCTGGCTTACCTCTCCGTCTATGCCGCTGTTGCGGGTAATGCTCTCTGGGTCGGGGATTTGAGACGGCTCTCAGGGAAGTGGAAGGGTAATGCTCTCAGAGTGTGGGGTTTAGACGTCCCTAAAATCTGGCATTCCACTTCTTTGACTTCTTTGACCCGTTACAGGGTGATTCTTCCAGGGTGGGGGGAATGGAAGGGAAAGGTTAACAGAAGTAAAAGGTCGGCCGAAAGGGAGAGACGGATAGGGAGGGAGGAGGAGGAAGGAGCGGACAGAGGAGGGGGGAGAGTGTGTGTGAGGAGCGGTGTGGATGAGGGGGATGAGGAGACGTGTTGGAGGAGGGTGGAAAAGGCAGTGTTTCAGCTCCAGCATCACTCTCTCTCTCGCTCTCCCTTCCCCCAAACATCATCCACCCACCCACCCACTCACCCACCCAGCCGCCCACCCAAACACCCACACTACCCGCTCCGCTCCTCCCCTCACCCGGCACATGGGCCTACAGCTCTGAGTCGCTTTGGGGTGTCACCATACATTCACCATAACCGCCTCTTGAGTCGACTCAAAATCTTTCCCCTTTCCTTCCCAACCTCCCCTCCTCCCCCCCCCCCCCCCGCTCTTCCCACATGGCCCTCTTCTCCAGGTCTGCAACGCTTTGGCATGACACCATACACCGTAACTGGCGCCTCTCTACTGGTCTCTCTTGCCGCCTTCTTGGTAAGCCATAGCTCTGGTCCTCAGGAGCAGTGCTTGCTGGCGCAAAACTGGTGAGCTCCAGGAAGCTTCGTGGCCTGGCTGGCCAGATCCTTGGTCCTTCCCTGCTAGATCATCGCTATTTTAACTCATCCGCTCCTTGCCCAACCCATTCCACAATGCTTAGTTGCCTCGTGTTCCATGTGACGACTTTTGAGGCGCCTAAAAAAGTCCCCAATGCTTAGATGACCTTCCTGCCGTGTCCCAACTTCGAAGTAGGGACAGCGAAAAGTGCACTCGGCACGTGCAAGAGATAAGCCAGGATGATGAGGTGGAGGGGGAGCGAATCTGGACGTCGCATTTTGTTCAGAGGCTCCCAGTGTGCGAACACCCTGCATGATCGGACGGTTGGGTCTGACCGACGGGAATTGAGATGCCATCGCAGATTCTAGATTGAGTCGTGCAGGCAGTTTTGATCGCACACACTAGTGTAGGTAAGCACGTGAAAGCAACGTGAAAACAACGTGAAAGCTGCCAGGCTGGACCCATATATTTGTACTTTTGGGGGCTCTCCTGTCCCAACTTCGCAGGAAGGCGATCTTAGTTTCCTCATGTTCCATCATGGCTTGCGGCTGTGCCAGCTCGCCTGTACACCTTGCATGTGCTCTGCTCTCGCTGTTTTCCTGTCTCTCCCTCGTCGCCCTTTTCCCCTTTTCAATCTCCCAACACCCTGTCATCCTCACTCCTGCCACCCCTTGCCTCTGAATTCAGAAATGCCCTCCTCCTCTTACCATGTTCCTCCCGCACCATTCCCACCAACCTGCCAGCCCAGCCCAACTTTCACGTCCCCTTCGCCCTTCTCACCCTGCTGCACCCTCCTCTCCTCACCACGTCCCCCGTGCAAACCCCATGCCCACTCCAGGCCATACTGCGAGTGCTCCTAGGCCTCCACACGTATGCACAGATTGCTGTCGGCTGGGGAATGGGCACAGCCATGGCTCTCCTCTGGTCGAACGCCGCTTCCTCTCTCCCGCAGTTGCCGTTTCTGCAGCAGCATGCAGCGTGGGTGGATGCTGGTGTGTCTGCGGCGGGAATGGTGATGTTTTCGCTCTTTGCGCTTGTAGAAGTGAGGAAATTGCTCGCCAAGGCTGGGGGAGGAGTGATGCCACCGAGGGGGGAGAAAAGGTGAGGAATATTTTTTAGGCGCCTCAAAAATAGGCACGCGGCATGGGTGGGTCGATGCGGGTGTGGCAATGGCGGGAATGGTGATGTTTTCCCTCTTTGTGCTTGTGGATGTGAGGAAATGGCTTGCCAAGGCTGGGGGAGGGGTGATGCGACGTGGGGGGGGAGAAAGGGTGAGCTGAGTTACTACCAGCATTACAAGTGAGGATTGTACTACTGATCTGATTTGGGCTTCACCAGACGTCTCACTTCACGCACTTCACATCACATACCTTTACTGTAAGGAGTCTATTCAAAGACTTCGAAAGGACCAAAGATTGTTTTGAGAACTGACTGTTGCAATGAGAATTAAACATTCAACGCTAAATCTGAAACCTTGAAATTGTTACTCGTAAGCAGTTCAACAGAGCATGATCTCGGGTAGTAAAAAAATCCACTTGTATTTGACATGCAGAATTCAGGAGATATCAAGTTTATGCAGCAATATTCACGTGGCAAAAAGATGTGTGTCAACCAAGCCATCATATGATGAGATTGGAGCCACGTGACTAAAGCATCATAGCATAAGAGCAGCAGCAATTGAAGAGCATGCGCGCCTCAGTGCATGTGAGTTGCCCATGCCACAGCCCCAAGCGCTCCTCCCCCAATGATCGCCAAAGGTGCTGGGATCTGCACTCATGGCATTCACACACACACAGTCCGGTCTCCCCGTTTAGTATCATACTCCCACCCACCGAAGGAAATGCTTTTCAGGCACCTCACAAGTCCCAAGTTGAAGTGAGGAAAGCATTATTAAAGGTGCTGCAGCAGCCAACGGCGCCTCAGCAGCAACGGGTGCATACATAACCCACACGCACGTTGAGGAAGACGGTGGTCGTGTAGGCCCTATGAGTTGATTTGATTAGACGTCACTAATGCATCAAGAAAACAACAGTGCCTCCTCACCAGCAGCAAGGCACACAACACACACACGTGCGCGCTCGCACACACATACACACGCACGCCCATGCGCGCGCGCACACACACACACACAGACACATACGCAGACACACACGAAGACACACACACAGACACACACGAACACACACACACACACACACGAACACACACACACACACACACACACAGACACAGACACACACACACACACACACACACACACACATGCACACACACACACTCACCTTGAGGAAGTTGGTGGCAGCATAGCCGATCATGGCAATGCAGAGCGAGGCCATGGGGAAGGGACTGCGGCTGTACGTCTGTAGACCCAGAGTGAACACCGACGCCCAGATCAGACCGATCTGCACAGCAGGAGAGGAAGTGAGGGGGGTAGAGAAGAAAGTGAGCATGTGAGAGAGTGATTAAAGGGACTGCGGCTGTACGTCTGCAGACCCAGAGTGAACACCGACGCCCAGATCAGACCGATCTGCAGAGCAGGAGAGCGAGACAGGGGAGAGAGAAGAAAGAGCATGTGTGAGAGTGCATGACAATAGAGGTCAGGGTGGTTTGGGGCGATGAGTAGGGGAACACTGCTGGTGCGGGGTGCTGGGAGTGCTCGAGCTGGGATTTGGGGCATGGGGAAACTGGGGTTTCTAGGGGGAAAGTGGAACGGGAAATTGCACTGGTCAAAGAAATTGGTGGGAACAAAGAAACGCAGTCGGCACACTCATAACACAACTCGTGCACACGAGAACTGCGTGGGGATGCGCAGTGTGCAGCATTATGCGAGAGGAGGGGAGATAGAGAGAGACGGAGTGACGAGGGGCATGAAAGCAGGCTGACAGAGCAAATGCAAACTAGGCAGCAAGGAGAGGAGCCCGGGGCTTACAGCAGTGGAGTTGAATCCTGGTGTGGCGCGTTTGTAGCTGAAGCACCCATGGGGATGGGAAAGGGACACAGACAGGGGGCACAGCAGCGAACAGGGGAGCGGATGGAGACACAGAAAAGCAGGACAGCAGCGAAAGGAGGAGGTGATGGGGGGATTTGAGAGCGAGGGAGTGCAAACGAGAGGGTACGCAAGAAGGGAACGGGGAGGACGAGGACGGGGATTTTTTTTTTTCTAAGATTTCTCATATTTCACCTGCAACAACGGGGAGGACGGGAGAATTCGAGAATTCTCAATGCCGAAATGCAGTCCTCACTGTTGCCTCAAACCCTTCCCCACCCACCACCACACACTCCTATTCCTTGTGAAACTTTCGCTTTGAGGAGTTTGTGAAACTCCCTAAACCACTTGTCTGCTTCCCCCCACCCCCTCCCCCCCAACCTTCCGCTCCTTGCTCAGCTGAAATTACAGACTCACATGTGCCACTGGCGGAAGCGGCCCCAGAAGGGCAGGATGCCGTAGATGAGCAGAATGCCTGGCGAGAAGAGCCCGAGCCAGCACGCCGCTATGCCCCCGAACTTGCCGATCTGAGAGGTGATGGGAGGAGGGAAGGGTGGGCAGGTGGGTCAGTGGTGGGTGGATGGGTGAGTGGATGGGTGAATGGGTGTGTTTGATAGTGGATAAGAAGGCGGGTGGGCTGTTCATTCAGGGCTGCTCATTATTGAGAGTCCTGAATGAACAGCCCACCAGCAGCCAGGCATGGTGCTGTGCCTGATGATGACTTGCAAGTTGCACCTTCAGAAAGAAGGCTTGGCATGGCATAGAGGCAATCTTCTTGCACTCGGAAAGAAGGGTCTAATTTTGAGGCACCCGCGTGTGAAGGGTCTATACTTTGGGGCACCCGTGTGTGAAGGCATCTTGAAGGAAAGCCGTGCACTCACAATGGCGCCCAGGTATGCGGAGAAGTTGAAGAGCGGGCCGGGCATGGCCTGTGCGAGGGCAAGACCCGCAAGACCCGCCATGTTGAGTGGCTGAGCAACGCACTTGCGGCGGTGGCCCCAGCACACCCAAAAGGCCCACATTCAACACTCACAATGCCCGTCCATGCAATGCAATGGACTCACGATGGCTACGTTTGAGCCGTCTCAAAAGTCATTCAAAACACACAATGGTCCATCCATTCAAGAGACTCACAATGGCACCCAGGTACGCGGAGGAGTTGAAGAGCGGCCCGGGCATGGCATGGCCTGTGAGAGGGCAAGATGACTTTTGAGTCGACTCAAAAGTAACTTTGTACTCACAATGGCACCCAGGTACGCGGAGAAGTTGAAGAGCGGCCCGGGCATGGCCTGTGCGAGGGCAAGACCCGCCATGAACTGCTGCTGCGTCACCCACGTGTTGGGCGACTCCGTGCACTGCCAGGCGCACATGGGGGGAATGCGGGGGCAATCAGGGGGGATAGGGGGGAATGTGGGGGCAATCAGGGGGGATAGGGGGGAATGTGGGGGCAATCAGGGGGGATAGGGGGGAATGTGGGGGCAATCAGGGGGGATAGGGGTGATGTTAGGGAGGGTGTGGGGGTGTGGGGGGGAGACGAGGGGGGAGATGTGGAGGGGGAAGTGGAGGGGGGTGTGGGGGCAATGCGAGAGGTGAGCGGATGGTGAGTGAGTGAATCCATTGCTCGGGCAGTCATAGTGCATTACCACACTCCCCCGGAGTGTTTTGAGTCGACTCAAAACACGGCAGTCAGCGCGTGTGTGCATTACCACACTCCCCCGGAATGGCAGTAGAAAACATGAAGAACCCCCAAGATTGAGACACAGTAGATATTCCAATGCATCCATCGCCACCCTTCGACCCTCTCCCGCTTGCACACCCCAGCGTGTGTATGGGTGCACAGCATGTGTGAATGTGCATGTGCATGTGCATGTGCATGTGTGAATGTGCATGTGCATGTGCATGTGTGAATGTGCATGTGCATGTGCATGTGCATAGGCATGTTCGTCTGCATGTGCATGCATGTGCACATCACGCACAGCGGAGCCATTGTTGGGGCAGTCATAATGCACCACCACGTTCTCCAGCAGCGGCAGCACCACCTGTCCTCCGCCATACGTCACCGACCCCGTCACATAGAAGCCCTGCCAGGGAGAGAAGCAGGAGGGGGAAAGGGGACGGGCAAGGGATGTGGCAGGCAGGCAGCACCACCTGTCCTCCGCCATACGTCACCGACCCCGTCACATAGAAGCCCTGCCAGGGAAGGGCGTGGGGGGGGGGGGAGCAGGGGAACAGCCACAGAAGACAGATCGCACACATACAACACGAATACATAAATGGCAGCACCACCTGTCCTCCGCCATACGTCACCGACCCCGTCACATAGACACACACACACACACACACACACACACACACACACACACACACACACACACACACACACACACACACACAGCACGACTGAATAGTTGCTCCTGAAGCTCCTCTGATAGATAGCCTCTCTGAAACGGTTCTTTGTATTGATTCAGGCAGGGTACAGACATGCAGACATCCCCCTCCTCTTCCGTCCTAGCCATTTTCCCTCCCTTATTCCCCCACCTAACCCCCTCTCCCCTCCCATTTCCCCTTTTTCCCCATCCCTTCTCCCCCTCCCGTCCCATACTCTCTCCCTTTCTCCCTCTCACCTCGAACCAGTGCATCCACTGCGCGTTCTCATACGGCAGGGCGTTCTTCACCACGATGGAAGTCACCAGCAGAGCATACCACCGCACAGCACACCAGAGCAGCCCATGCTGCTCTCATGTGCCTCTAAAACACTGACCCTCTCTGTTCCAGGCAGGCCCCTCCCTTTTCCACCCTGCCTCGCACCTCGAACCAGTGCATCCACTGGGCGTTCTCATAAGGCACGGCGTTCTTCACCACGATGGACGTCACCAGCAGCGCGGCCCACCCCACACCACCCCACAGCAGAGCAAAGCAGCCCATGCTGCTCTCATGTGCCTCTAAAACACTGACCCTCTCTGTTCCAGACTCCTTGCCCCCTCCCTCTCCCTCGCACCTCGAACCAGTGCATCCACTGGGCGTTCTCATAAGGCACAGCGTTCTTCACCACGATGGACGTCACCAGCAGCGCACCCCACACAGGTACCTGCTCTCACTGCCTCCACTGAATCTCTCTGTTCCAGGCCCCTCCCTTCCCCCATCTACCTCTCACCTCGAACCAGTGCATCCACTGGGCGTCCTCATACGGCACGGCGTTCTTCACCACGATAGACGTCACCAGCAGCGCACCCCACACAAAAATCAGAAGCGCGCCCCCCCACCGGTTCACCCCCAGCCTCTCAATGTCACTCCGGGCCGGAGCGATGGGCTTGTTGCGCCCTATGATGACCGTGATGAGCCCGCCTGTGGGAGGAGGTCAAGGGGAACGCGGAAGGGGGCAGACGGGGAGATGAGGCCAAGGGGATGGGCTTGTTGCGCCCAATGATGACTGTGATGAGCCCGCCTGTGGGAGGAGGTCAAGGGGAACGCGGAAGGGGGCAGACGGGGAGATGAGGCCAAGGGGATGGGCTTGTTGCGCCCAATGATGACTGTGATGAGCCCGCCTGTGGGAGGAGGTCAAGGGGAACGCGGAAGGGGGCAGACGGGGAGATGAGGCCAAGGGGATGGGCTTGTTGCGCCAAATGATGACTGTGATGAGCCCGCCTGTGGGAGGAGGTCAAGGGGAACGCGGAAGGGGGCAGACGGGGAGATGAGGCCAAGGGCATGGGCTTGTTGCGCCCAATGATGACTGTGATGAGCCCGCCTGTGGGAGGAGGTCAAGGGGAACGCGGAAGGGGGCAGACGGGGAGATGAGGCCAAGGGGATGGGCTTGTTGCGCCCAATGATGACTGTGATGAGCCCGCCTGTGGGAGGAGGTCAAGGGGAACGCGGAAGGGGGCAGACGGGGTGATGAGGCCAAGGGGATGGGCTTGTTGCGCCCAATGATGACTGTGATGAGCCCGCCTGTGGGAGGTGAGGAAGGGGAGGGGAGGAGGGGGGCGGAAAAAAGAACGCTGAAGAAGTGGCTTTTGCGTCAACTCAATGTCACTCCGGGCGGGGGGGATGGGCTTGTTGCGCCCGATGATGACCGTGATGAGCCCGCCTGTGTGGGGGGGGGAAGAGGAGGATGGGAGCGGAAAAAGGACGCTGAAAAGGTGGCTTTTGCGTCGACTCAAATGCCCCTGCAGGCCCGATGATGATGACTGGGAGATGGGCTTGTTGCGCCCGATGATGACTGTGATGAGCCCGCCTGTGGGCGGGGGAAAGGGGGAGAGTGGAGGGGTCGGGCGGGGGAATTGGGAATGGGGGATGGGCTTGTTGCGCCCGATGATGACACTCACCGCAACACACCGCAAGCCAGCAACCCACTACACCACACCACACAGTGCACCACACAGTGCACCACACAGTGCACCACACAGTGCACCACACAGTGCACCACAACGCAAGGCCAGGAAGGCAACGGGGGGGCGCACGCACACACCGACGAGGATGATAGAGGGGAAGAGCCACTGCGATGCAATGCAGAGCGATGCAAGCGCAAGGGCCGCAACGCAGAGCAACGCAAGCGCAAGGGCCGCGGCGCAATGCAGAGCAACGCAAGCGCCGTGAGCGCGAGGGCAGCAGGATGCACGCGGCACGCAGCACGCACCGACGAGGATGATGGTGGGGAAGAGCCACTGCGTCTGGTAGTAGAAGGTGATGACAGCCGCTGCCACCGCTGGTAATTTCAGAAGCGGATCAAAGCTCACTCCGCACCGCACCGCACCGCACCACAAGGCACAACGCAAGGCAAGAAGAAAAGAGGGAGCACGCGGCACGCTGCACGCACCGACGAGGATGATAGTGGGGAAGAGCCACTGCGTCTGGTAGTAGAAGGTGATGACAGCCGCGGCCATACACAGCACCTTGGACACTCGGTCCTTGCACACCTTCTTCCCCAGCACCACCGCTGCCTCCGCCACCAACGCCACTGCTAGTTACTTCACAGGCAGCTCAAAGCTCATCTCCGCACCGCACCGTACCCCACACCACCGCAGGGCACAACGCACCGCACCACAGCTCAACTCACCGCACCACACAGCGCACCTCAGCGCAAGGCAGGAAGGCAAGAGGACGCACGCACTCAGCAGCACGCACCGACGAGGATGATAGTGGGGAAGAGCCACTGCGTCTGGTAGTAGAAGGTGATGACCGCTGCTGCCATACACAGCACCTTGGACACTCGGTCCTTGCACACCTTCTTCCCCAGCACCACCGCTGCCTCCGCCACCAACGCCACTGCTACTGCTGCCAGCCCTGCTGATATGGCTGTCAGCCACACGCCCGGGTCGACTAAGAACTGGTGGGTGGGTGGGTGGGTGGGTGGGTGGGTGGGTGGGTTATAGGGGATGGATGGGAAGTGATGGGGATGGAGGAGTGGGGACGGAAAGGAAGGGAGCAAGTGGGAGCAATGCAGGGATCAGGTCAGGAGTGGCCGATAGAGGTGCCTTTTGTTGCACAACTTAGGAGTAGCCGATAAAAGGCGCCTCAAAACAGTACTGGGGATTTGCTGTCTTTGTACCAGGAGCCACAGCCACACACACACCACGCACGCACCTTAGCAGCGCCGAAGCCCGGAAGGCTCATGATGATGAGACCAGGGTACTGGAAGAGGATGCCTGAGATCAGCTTTGAGTCGACTGATGTAGTATCAATCAACAGGAAGCACGCCCACACGCACGCACCTTAGCGGCACCGAATCCTGCAAGGCTCATGATGATGAGACCAGGGTACTGGAAGAGGATGCCTGAGAGCAGTCCGCCTGAGATGCCCTTCTGCAGAATGCCGATGGCGAATGACATCTGCGTGGATGATGGGCCTGGGACGGTTTGGCAGAGCGCCAGCAGCTCAGCGAACACATCATCTGACATCCACCTGAGAAAAGGGGGATGTGGGGCGAGGGTGAGGTTTGAGGTGAGTGGTGAGGGGTGAGGAGTGAGGGGTGAAGGGTGAGGGAGATAAAAAGTGGGAGAAAGGTTATGGGCCCATGGAACGAGGGAGAGAGGGAGCGAGGAGCGAGGGAGTGCGGGAGCAAGGGATGGAGGGAGCAGGATTGGGGACGGAGTCGCCCCTCCACACCCCTCCTCCCTGCTACCGCTCCGCACCTCTCTTTCTTCCCCTCCCTCTTTTCCCCCTCCCCCTCACCCGCGCAGCTCGACGAAGTCCTTGTGGAACTCCCAATGCGTTCCTCTCGCTCCGCGCAACTCAATTCGCCTCTCCTTTCCCTCCCGCTTTTCCACTCCCCCCTTCCCCACCACACACCCGCGCAGCTCGACGAAGTCCTAGTGGAACTGCGCGATGTGCTCTTCTTCTAGACGACTCATAACTCCAACCGCGCAACTCCACACCCCCCCCCCCCGCCCCCTTCCACCCCCCCTCACCCCCTCCCCCTCCCCCTCACCCGCGCAGCTCGACGAAGTCCTTGTGGAACTGCGCGATGTGCGCGGACGGGCCTCCGAACGCCGTCCACCCCAGCACAGCGAACGCCATCACAATCGCGCGATAGCTTCCGCGGATGGCCTGGGGACGCGGGGGGGGCGCGGGGGGAGGGTGGGGGTTGGAAGGGGGGAAAAAGGGGGAGAGGAGGGGAACGGAGATGGGGGAAGGGGAGAGGAAGCCGAGGGGGAAGATGGGGTTGAAGCGGGGGAGGGTGCGGGAGGGGGAGGTGAGCATGCGGGATGCACCAGCACGGTCGAGGCTGCCTGGCTGTCTGCATGGCGGAATACCCCTAAGGGACGGTGGGGTGTGATTGGGATGGTGGCATGGGCTTGGCGTGCATAGCGGTTGGTGCATGTGCGCGTCGTTAACTGCAACGGACACGACAGAGAGGAGGAGCAAGGAGAGCGTTCGTAGGGCACGGGTCACACGGGTCGCACGGGTCGCACGGGTCGCACGGGTCGCACGGGTCGCACGGGTCGCACGATTCACCTTGGGAGGCTCTTCCACCACGACGACTGGCGGCACCACAGCGAGAGTTCCGTCGCTTTCGCCGCCATCGCCACATTCGGCACCAGCAGCACCGTCAGCAGCGGCAGCAGCACCAGCAGCATCAGGAGCATTTGCAGCAGCTTTGGAGTCATTTCCCGCCTCTCCCTTTGCGTCCCCATCCCCCTCCTCGTCGCTGCTCTCCCCGCCACAATCCTGCAGCACGGGAACGTCCGCCGTCCCCGCCTCCTTCCCCTTCTCCCCCGCGTCCCCGTCAGTCCCGCCCGTGCTGGTCATTCCGCCCTCGAGAACCGCATTTTCCGGAGCTGCATCGGTCCGAGGCTCCAGCTGAACCTCAGGCTCGGGCCGGCTGTGATCCGCCGTCCCGTCGACCATGGTTGCAGCTACGCTGCACGTGCGCGCGCGGGATGAGAAAGACCACCGGAAAGCAGGGAAACAGAGGAAGGGGAGAGAGGCTAGTACTTGTTACAAGAATCACGAGCGACAAATGGGGTTTTGTTGAACCATATTTTGACATGCGGCGCAGGGCAGCGGAGGTCGCCATGGGGTTTCAGTCAGTTTCTTCACGAGCTAATATCGTCCGTTGATTCATGAACGAATTCTGCAGATGATCTCTTGAGAGCTACGCCAATTCCTGCGTAAGCACTGAGATAGCTTATCAGTTGCCTCTGGAATAAGTACATAGTCTCTAGCAATAGCTAACTGCAGCTGTCAGTGGAAGGAAGGGGACACGGTGGCGCCGACACTCACGGGAATAAGCAGCAGGAGTCGAGAGCGTGTTATTTTGTTCTCAAGGAAGCAATCACAGCTGTGGGTAGGAACAATGGCGACGGATGGGGATGAAGATTAGTCCCCGCAATAGACGGAATGTGGTGCTGGGAACTAGACCGGGGTCTAGGGTTTGGTGGCTTTTGCGCTGCGTCGCGGGGCTTACTGTACTTTAGGTACAGTACTACTGTAAGCCCCTGAGCTGCTTGGGGCCTGTCGAACTGATGATGCTCGGAACAAGGTGGCAGCTTTGTACTGTACCGTCCCGTGGTCGCTCGGTCACCCGCCATGTGAGTGTGTGTGTGTCCCTCCCCTCTTCCCTCCTTGCAGGCTGCCGTGATTCGATTCGTCCTCGGATGATGCGAGCGACCCTAGCTGAACCCCACCCAGAATTTAGTCAAAACGACGGTTGAGTTGTTGCAGGGGTGGTTGAATTGTATGGATCAACAACACATGCCACGGGCGCACTCGACACTCGAGTAAAACGTGGTCTATTTATGGTTTACAGCGGTCCAGTCGGGTAATCTGAAAAAAGAGTGTCTTTCAGAAGCCACATCCGCTGATTACTTCGACATTCTGAATCGACGGAACTTATTCGCTGAAACCACCAGACTGCCGCGGCGCGACATTGGTGAACCAGACCTGGATGTTGCTACCAGGTACACCGCACTGGGACGAATATTCCATTTCTGCCATCCTGAAATTGTCCCATGCACGTCAGCCACAAGTTTCCCGTCACAAGTTTCCCGTCGAATGGCGGAGTAATACAAGCAGGTACACAGCGTTCGCCAGTTTCGCAGCTGGCATGCTGTGACTACTGGTAACAAGGCTGTAACATTATTGGCAAGAGTCAGTGGAAAGTAGTCATTTGCCTTTGGTTCTTCAGCAAAGAATGATAAGCTTTTAAAGCGATGTGCTGCTTTCCAGATCTCATATGCATTCAGAGCCTTACATCCTACACAGAGGGAGTACACCTTCTACTCTCACGCTAACAGGTCCAGTTCACGTATTGACCGCGCCTTACTCTCACAATCGCTACTGCCTTACCTCGTGCTAGCATTGCATGTCATGCCCAGGGACCCGATCTCTGATCATGGCTTCGCTGTCCGGGTTGGGCTCCGCATTAAATTCAAGGTCCGCTCTGGGCCTGGTCTTTGGCGTCTTCACGCGTCCCTGCTTAACAGGCCAGGGGTGAGGAAGATAGTGGAGGAGACGGTGGAGAAGATAGATGTGAAAGATGGTAGCAGCTATGAGCTTCTACTCTCCAGGCTCGGCGCTGGACTCAGGGCCTACGCCAGAGAAGAGAGCCGCATGGTCAGAGCGACGACGCCTCATATGGCTAACGCGGTAGCAGCTTTGCGACAGGTGGTGAGGGAGCCTAACTACGTGCGCTCCCTGTTGTTATAACTGAAGGATCGTAGTGGAAAGAATAAGGCTGCTAAGTTAAAACCCGGGGTCCAAGAGTTTCTAAGTTAGGAAGGTTGCCAGGGGCAAGAAACGTGGCTGGCTCGCGAACCAGGGTGTTGTCGAAATCGGTGGTTGTGTGTCGCTAAGTATGAAAACATCGCGAGTGTAACCAGATCTGGAGTGCAACGTCAAAATTCGTTTGCAAATAGTTTCGGATGGGCGCGAAATCTGTTTACGAAATCGTCACTGCTATCGCCCAGTAATTTCGCGAGACAAAAATTTTCCCGAAGGGTTTTGAAGTTAGGAAGTTTGAGTCAGTATCTACTGGGTCACACCCAACCAAAGTTAGGAAGTTTGAGGCAGTTTTGGCCTGTTTGGGACTCTGGTTTTAAGGAAAGACTATGAAGTCTCTGAATGACCTTGTCAATAAGATTGAAAGAGAACAAGATGATTAAAGGATCGTAGTACAAGGAATAAATAGCAATCCTAGCTAGCCATGTACTCTGAGGGGTACATTCACTTATTAACCGAATTGCATTGCTACAGTAACCACGACAATTGCTATTCCCGACAGTTACTATGTTCCAGCGCGTAACTACCAAGTGCGGTTACTGGGCAGTCAAGGGTCACGACCGTTGACTATCTACGACTGTTGACCTTCGGGTGACCCTCGACCTTCCGCATGCTCTATATGAGCTATTGCGATACTGATACAGGCGCGTTGCTTCGTTATGGAGTGACGCGCGAGTGGAGAGCCTTCGGGAATGTTATGATAACCTTTCGGTTATTCCAACACTCCCCTTCATTCCTGAAGGTGAGCCACGTGGGATTTCTTCGAGATCCCGCAGAGGTCGGTGCAGTGCTGAAACTTCTGACGTGGCAGTTTCTTGGTCAAGAAATCTGCTGCCATGTCACCGGTTGGGCAATACGTGAGTTTGACCTTGCCCTTGTCGATCTCGTCCTTGACGAAGAAGTAACGGAGTGCGATGTGTTTCGTGTGGTTCACGAAGCCGGGCTTGTTCGTGTTAACAGGAATGCAGTGTTGGCCCCGCCCTCGCTTGGGCAACGCCGACGACTTGGTCGGATGTACGGGAGTAGCAGCCGACCGTTCAGAGTGGGAGAGCTGCTCGACAGGCTTGGTCGAGCTGCAGGGGACCGCTGTGGTGTTGCTGTCGACCAGGGAGCTTGACAGCTGCAACTGACTGGTCTGGGCGACGGGTGGGCCGTCGACCAGGAGGGGCAGTTCGACTGGGAGGTCGACGGAGCAGTCCGTCGACCTGACAAGTGAGCAGCGGTCGACGAGGGGAGCTCGGCGACAACAGCTGACAGTTCTGGTCGACGGAAGGGGTCCGTCGACCAGGGGGTAGCTCGACGGGAGCTGTGGTCGACCAGAGGGACCTGGTGGTCGACCAGAGGGACCCAGTGGTCGACCAAAAGCACTGGTGGTCGACCGGAGCACTTGGTGGTCGACCAGGTCGACCGGGTAACCTGTTCGACGAGTTCTGCGGAGGCACGCGAACGTCGTCGAGGTCGCGATGGCGAAGGCGACTTCGGGCTGGTATCCCGAAGTCGATGTGGCTCGTCAGGCGCAGACAACAGCCAACGGATGCACAACGGTGCAAGTCGGGCCAATCGTCTGCGCGCACCTGCGAGCGTGCGCAATGCTGTCTTCTACGGGGCAACGCTGGACAGCCGCTTTGCTGCAGCGTTCGCACGCCGTCGACCTGCAGTGTTGGCAGGTCGCCCTTCTGCAGTGCTGGCGCGCCTCCTCTACGCAACGCTGGCAGGCGGTCGACCAAGCTGTGCTGGCGGTCGACCACGCTAGCTGCAGGGTTGCTAGGTGCCGGATGCAGTCAATTCTGTCATTGCTTGTTCAATCACTATGTAATTCCAACTTTGCCTAGTGAAACTCTTGCCGATTTCTCCCGTGTATGCGCAAGCACTAAGGAACTAAGCAAAGCTACGATCACTCCTAGTAGTTCGTGCCAACCCCGTAGTCTAGCTCACTACCGTTGTAGAGTGACTCTCCGCAGTTCGCGATCTTGATCGCGCTCTGGTTGTCGCAGAGTAACGTGAAGTGCCCGTTCATCGTCACTTTCGCTTCCTGTAGGAGCTCCATCAGGTACAGTTCTTCGCGAACAGCTGCGCTGGCGGCGATGAACTCAGCTTCGGCTGACGAAAGTGCAATGAGCTCCTGCTTCTGGGAGTTCCAAGAGATGAGTCCAGCAGGTTGGAGTTGAAAAATGAATCCTGTACGGGAGCGTCTGTTGTCAATGTCTCCCGCGTGGTCTGCGTCAACGTAGCCGTGAAGCTGTAGAGTAGCGGTGAGGTTAGCTTCGTAGGTGAGTCCGACGTCAGGGGTAGAAACGAAGTATTGGAGTGCTCGGCGTAGATCCAGTAAATTCTCCCCTTCAGGTCGCTTCAGGTACTGTGCGAGCTGGCTTGCGACGTACGAGAGATCAGGCCGGCACGTGACGGCGGCGAACAGGAGACACCCCAGCTGCTGCTGATAAAGTCGATGGTCCTTGATAGAGAGCGGTGTTGTGTCGGGTTCGTGGTTGGGAGGAGGAGTGCGTAAGGGGGTGGTGAGGTTAATCGGGGCGACAGCGAATTTCTTCGCTAGTGTTTCCGCGTATTTGGCGGCGGAGAGGTGGATGGAGGTGGCGGATTGGGTGATGTTGAGGCCCAGAAAGCGAGTGACGTTGTGGCTGATGGTCACTTCAATCTTCTTTTTGATATCCGCCTCAAACCGATCGTCAAGCTTCACACTGGTGGGAGGGTAGAGCTGGGGATGGACGTGGGGATGTGCGGAGGTGCAGGAGCTGAAGCCGGGGCGACAAGCGGATCGTCGATCTTATCAGCGAGAAGGCCCGGTGACGGAGAGGATACCGCCGAAGTGGATACTTTGTGTCCACTTCCTGGCGCGCGCTCTGCTTTCCAGTCAGCCAGCGACTGTTTTTCGTAAAATATCACCTCCACAGTGGTAACAATGCGGTTTGCATCGAGATCCAGCACCTCCCAACCTTTACTCGCGGGAGAAACGCCAAGATGAAGACCCCAGCTGGCTTTCGGCGCAAGCTTCCCACCGCGCTGATGTTGCG